TATCAAAAATGTTAAAAAAATATTAATATTTTTAGTATGACATTTCTTTAGTCGTATATTAAGACTCTCGTGTAGCAGAAGTACTCAAATTTAGGGTCTGTTTGTTTGCCGTAAAACCAATTACGGAATTGGTTTTCCCCGAAATCTCGTGTTTGTTTCATGTAATTCGTTTTCCGGAAAATGTTTTCTCGTGTTTGTTTCACGTAATTCGTTTTCCAGAAAATGTTTTCCCGTGTTTGTTTCACGTAATTCATTTTCCGGAATGTAATTCATTTTCCTAGTAACATAATTTCCTTTGTGTTTTCTGTAAAATGACTTACATATTCATTTTCCGTAAGTCATTTTCTGAACTTTTCAATTTAAAGTAAAAATACTCAAAATAATTTTATTTTATGAATTTAATATTAATAAAATATTTTAATATCATTTTCATCAAAATATTATTTATTAAAATATTTAAAATATATTTATTAATATTTATAATAATATAATATTATATTTTTAATATTATATAAAATAATCAATTATATTATAATAATATAATATAATATAAGATATTATATTTTTATTTTAATAATATATAATAATTTTTTTATATATTTAATAATGAATAATATTATTTATATATTTAAATAATATTTTAGTAAAGATATTTAAAATATACTAATTAATATTTTTAAAATATAATATAACACTATTACTTTAATAAATAATTAATATAATTTATAATATTTTATTTCACTAAAATATACCAATATTAATATTTTTATTAATAAAATTATAAAAATAATATTTAATAATAAATAAATTATTTTAATATTTTAAAATAATAATATTAAGTTTTATGATAAATAATATTATTTATTATATTTAATATTTGTAATAAATAATTTTTAAAAAACTCTTCAACTAGTGGAAAAAAAGTTTAAATAACATCTTCCAAACATCATAAAACGTTTTCTAGATGTTTCCCAGAAGAGAAAATAACCTCAGTGACCAAAAATGCCTTATAATATATGATTTTAACCAACTTATTTTGGATTTGCCAAAATGACCAACTAAATCGCAATGCGATCGATAATTCGCAACGTGATCTCCGGTATCGCAAATCAGTTTCCAGATTTGCATCGCGAACATCGACTATCGCAATGCGATAGTCCAAGTTCGTTGCGATAGTAGAATTTCGCGTTGCGATTTATTCCAAATTCGCGTTGCGATAGTCCAAGTTAGTTGCGATAATCGAAGTTCGCGTTGCGATAGTCCAAAATCGCAACGACTGATGGTATTGCATTTGTTTCTTAAGAATTTTCTCTAAAAATATAGTATTCGCGCGGACGTGTCGAAGACACGTATTACCACGAGACGAGACAGACGGCGGCGGCGGCGCGCGAGAATCCCCTTTGTTCTCTATCACTCAACAAGAAAGTGGGAAAGCCAAGCCTTAAATACCATTCCCAATAGTGTTTCCAATATTATGTGGGATTGAGCATTACCAACACTTGTTCCCAATACTATGTGGGATTGAGCCTTAAATAGTGATATTATTTGTGAATTATAGTTAATGACTTTAGTATTTGTATGAAAAGTATTTGTGGTTCGTTTAGTTTTCATGCAATTCTAATTTATTTTCAATTGATTGTAATTACACGATAACAATTTTTTTTATTCTCGCGAGTGATGCAATTTTTTTTGAATGTTTGCTTAAAATTGCAATAATCGCGATTGATTGTAGATTGACTTTTAATTATGACATATTTAATCATATAATACTAATGCAATTGGTTGCTGATTCAGTTGTTTTAAGGTGCATAATTGGTAATTGTTTCCTGAATAATCACATATTATTGGAAACAAGTGTTGGTAATGCTCAATCCCACATAGTATTGGAAATACTATTGGGAATGATATTTAAGGCTTGACTTTCCCACTTCCTTGTTGAGTGATAGAGAACAAGGGGGACTCTCGCGCGCCGCCGTCGTCCGTCTCGTGGTCGTGGTAATACGTGTCTTCGACACGTCCGCGCGAATACTATCTTTTTAGAGAAAATTCTTAAGAAACAAATGCAATACCACTAGTCGTTGCGATTTTGGGCTATCGCAACGAATTTGAAATAAATCGCAACGAACTTGGACTATCGCAACGAATTTGTAATAAATCGCAACGCGAACTTGGACTATCGCAACAAATTTGGAATAAATCGCAACGCGAACTTGGACTATCGCAACGAATTTGGAAAATCGCAACGCGAACTTCGACTATCGCAACGCGAACTTCGACTATCGCAATGCGAATATGTAAATCGCAATGCGATAGTCGAAGTTCGTGTTGCGAATCTGGAAACTGATTTGCGATACCGGAGATCGCGTTGCGAATTATCGATCGCATTGCGATTTAGTTGGTCATTTTGACAAATCCAAAAAAAGTTTGTTAAAATCGTATATTATAAGACATTTTTGTTCAATGAGGTTATTTTCTCTTTCCAGAAATGTAATTCATTTTCCAGAATTCAAATTCCAGTAATTCATTTTCCAGTAATTCAAATTCCAATAATTCATTTTCTGAAAAAACAATTACAGCTAAACAAACAGACCCTCAGCATATATGTCGAATGTTGGTTTTCTTGAATTCCACTACAAGCTTTGCTTAGGTGACAGTTAGAGAGATAATATTTTTGGGAGAAAAAAGTTTAATTTTTGAACTTTATTTATTAAATTATAATTTTAAAATTTATTAATACAATTGAATAAGAATGAGAAAAAATTAAGCGATGAATTTATAATTATTCTTACTTTATTATTTGAAGAGAGAAGACGACATATTACCAGAAAAAGGGTAAATAATATATTTTAATAAATATTAGAGTTCGTGGCGGCACTTCCATTGAGTGAAGAAGAGGAAGAAAATGAATAAATTGGATATAGTAGATGGCATTATTAAATAAATGATTAAATATACAAAAGGTGTCTAATCTCGTTTTTTTAGTTTAGTGCCTAACGTTTTATTTCATTATTCAAAATGGATCACGCCGTGACAGACCGTTAGTTTTCTCCGTTAAGTGACACATGTCTAATTTTAAATTTTCTTTTTAAAAATAAATATTAAAAATATTATTATATTTATAAAAAAAACCCTTATTTCTTTTAAATTACAAAAAAGCTTAAATCCTAACACTGAAGCTTACCCACGGCGGCGGACGACGATTACGACGTGGCCCACCGATTGGGTTTTGAGCGGATGGCAATGAAGAACTAAATATAGTGGCGATGAGGCGAACGGAGGTCCGAGGAGGCCGGAATCGTCCAAAATCCGAGGTGTCAAGGTGGGTTTTCGACGAAACTTCAAGGGTTCGATTCCGGCGAATGACGATAGCTATCCATGAATTGTTTTTGGGGGCTTTGATAATGGCGGCGAGATGCTTCGATTGGGCTGGGCGGTGACAGGAATGGACGAGCGATGGTGGCGGTCGACGTGGGTTTAATGGTTGAAATTGAGGTTTTAAAAGTTTTGAGATTATTTCGAAATTAATGTGTTTTTTATTTTAAAATATATATAAATTTTGGATAAAAATCAGATACTTGAAATGTATCCGATCAACCAGCCGAAGCTTGATTTCAAGCTGTTGAGTTCCATGGAAACCGATTCTCTTTTCAACGTTCTCGATACCATTGCGAGAATTGGGTGCTTTTAGTTGGTGAATTATGGGATTCAGGCAGAATGTATCCGATCAGCCCTGGGATCTGCTGCTGCCGTTTTCCAATTACCACCCGAGAAACCAACCACGGTGACACGGTCACCGGAGAAGCTATACGGGTTCGAGGAAGCTCATGGAGAAGAATATGATGAAGTTGAAGAGTTTGAATGGTGTAAAGGTTAAGGCTTGAAGTTGGCAATGGAGACAATTTGGCCCGTTGGGTACTCAAATTTCAAGTAAAACATGCTCATCATTTGGTGGTCTTTAATTGTCTAATTCTTTTACTCTTTTTTTCAAAATTTTCAATGACAAGATGGAGGCTTTACTGTCTGACAATGAGAAAGTGACTGAGAAAATTCTGGGAATCATCAGGCAAAGTTTCCCATTAATTTCAAGCTTGAAATCAAGCTTAGGCGGGTTGATCGGGTTCATTTCAAGTATCTGATTTTAATCTAAAAATTAAATATTTTTTAAAATTAAAAATACATTAATTTTGAAATAATCTCAAAATTTTGAAATTTTTTATTTCAATCCTTAAACCTACGCCGACCACCGTCGCCGCCGCTCGTCCGTTCCTGTCACCGCCCAACCCAATTGAAGCGTCTCTTCGCCATGATCAAAACCTCCAAAACAATTCGTGGATAGTCGTCGTCATTCACCGGAATTGAACCCTTGAAGTTTCGTCGAAAACCCACCCTGATGCCTCGAATTTTGGACAATTCCGTCTACCTCAAACCTCCATTCGCCTCATTGACACTATATTTAACTTCCTCGTCGTCGTCCACTCAAAACCCAACCGGTGGGTCACGTCGTAGTCGTCGTCCGCCTCTGTGGGTAAGCTTAGGTGTTAGGATTTGAGTTTATTTTGTAATTTAAAAGAAATAAGGTTTTTTTTTATAAATATAATAATATTTTTAAAATTTATTTTTTTAAAAAAATTTAAAATTACCATATTATGACACATGTCACTTAACCAAAAAAATTAGTGGTCTGTCAATACATGACCCATTTTGAGAAACAAAATTAAACGTTAGGCACCAAACTAAAAAAAACATTAAATAACAACTTTTATATATTTAAACCTTAAATAAAAAAAACATTTATTATTTAATTGTAAAAACAACTTTAAACATTATTAATTGAGAAAATATATTTCAAGTTGTTTTTCCAATAAAATAATACATGGGGGTTTTCATTTAATAATGCCAAAGTAGACTTCGATTTTAGATAACCAAGTTAAAAATACAAATTATTCTTCACTTCACGGGTGATTCAGTCGATCAATAAAGATAATATTGATGAATATAGGTTAAAGTTGAAGAACAGTATCACACAGAGTTTTAAATCCAAGCAAAGGTCCGATTCAATGGAAAACGAGACGGAAAAAAGATAGAAAGATACATGCGGAAATGAAGAGCATTTGATTCGATTAAGGCCGGCAGAAGCTTTCAGAAGCAAGCATCCAGCAGGCAACAACAGCACAGGGCAGCCAAACTGCACCGAAAAAGGAATTCAAACGCCTCGTGATTATTATCGACATCAACAGATTTGATTGGTTTTCAATGCTGGAATTCCAAATCAACCAGGAATTGAAAAGAAAAGAGTAAAAGACAATATCAAAAGCTTGGCCAAGGGGTGTTTTGGGGACTTTGAACTTTTTTGTTGTTGAAGAATTCACTGTTCATGTGAAAACTTGAAGAACCGACTGTTCATTTTCATCGGCAATTGCGTAAGAATCGTAGATCTGACATGCAAACCGTATATACGCTACAGAAATACTAGGTACAGAGTTGTACTATACAAGAAAATCCTAAAACGTGCAGAGAATGATCGAAAGGACTTACCAGCCCTCCATGAAGCCAGTGCTCTGCTGTTGCTGAGGCGGCGGCCCCTGAGCATATTGAGGTGCGTAAGGAGGAGGATATCCCTGAGGAGGATAACCTTGAGGATATCCTTGTTGTGGAGGATATCCCGGCGGCGGATAAGCGTCCTTCGGATATCCTTCCGGTGGATAACCTTACAATTTCAAAAGGAACAAAACAATCAGATCCACGTCCACCAGATTACCAGATCTATTCAATCGCAATTCAAAAAAAAAAGGCAAAAATATAGAATAAATGTGTTTTTTTAAAAAGGAAAGAAAATAAAATAAATTAAACGAAGACTCTGGAGTTGACCTTGAGGAGGAGGAACACCGACAGGAGGCTGTTGCTGATTGTAATAACTCATTGTTTTCTAACAGAAATTTCTGCAGATACTTTCAGCGAGGATGATTCTCTCTCTCTCTCTCTCTCTCTCTCTGGGTTTATTTTCCTTCTCTTTCCGGGAAAATTTTTTCCAGATAAATAAGGCTTTGTGTGAAGTGTGGGGAATAAGGGAACTGGATATGTATACATATACGTATAGTGAAATTTGTATACCATTTTTGAATTCTTTTCACTGTTGTTGAAGTTGTGAACGATTTGTCATTTACTTTAGGGTAAATTATATATTATTCATCAACTTATTGTCTCTTTTTATTTTAGTCACTGAATTGTTTTGACAAAATCATCACTAGCCTTACATTTCTTTAAGATCACTTCAATATAAAGTGTATCAAATGAGAAAACAAAAAAAATTAATACAAATTAAATATATCTACTGAGTACTAAAATGTACATAAAATTTGATTTAATGTGTAGTATTTTAATATAATTATACATACAAGCCTAAGTTTTTATATGTATACATTTATACCAAAATAAAGAATATATCTAACTTTATATATTTGACTAAATTTAGTATAGTTTTAAGATTTATCTTAAATTTATTCCTAAAAAGTGTCAATTATTTTTGGGTAAATTTATAATAGTTAGTGGTGAATCTATAAATATTTTTTTAAGATAGACACATATATATTAATAATATAAAATTTTTTGTACGAGTGAACATAAATAAAATTTTAAGATGAGTATAACCAATAAAAATGATAATTATAAAAAAATATATCAGATTTAGAAAAAAAAAATTACATCTTATGCCTTTTTTTTCATTTTATATTTCGTTTCCTTTTTTTCATCAGGAAAACCACTTCTCTCAAATAACTATTTTTTTAATTATTTTCAGCCATGGTGCAATATAGTAAATATTTTTAGCAGGGTACCCCATGTTGAAATTCCCCTTTAAAGTTTTAAAGTGCCGCGACAGCATGTGGCTGTTGATGGGTAATGCAGCCCATTTTGATAGGGAGATACCTTTACGATACGTCCGTTCCCATAAAAAAACAAACACACACACACACACTTTACAATAAAAAATTAATTATTTAATATAAAACCTATTACTTTGCCTTGGAAATTAAGCCAGAATTCCGTGTCCAGTGCGAGTTAAAATAAGGCTTATATAATAAATAAATTCATAAAATATATCCTCTTTTTTATCAAAATAAATATTTATAGTTATTTTTTTATCAAAATAGGTACATAAAGTATTCATTTTTTCATCTAAGTACCTAAAATATTCTTTAACTAATGTCATATGTGAACATATTAGGAACTTAAATTAAAAAGCTTGAATAGTTTAAGTATCTATTTTGACATAAAATATTTTTAGGTACTTATTTTGACCAAAAATAGTTTAAGTACTTAAATGAAAAATAAGGTATCTTCATGTACTTATTTGTTTGTGATATAAGCCTTAAAACAACAAAAAAGTTAATTTCTTTAAAAAAAACAAAGGTTAAACAAAGTATTTAGTCGTTCAACTACCATTTTGGTTTCATCTTGGTCATGTGACTATATCTTTCTAAATCATATTTTAAATTACGTTTCTATCACCCGCCGTTAAAAATTAACGGTGATGCTTACACATCATCAAAATGTAATACTATGTCATTATTGAAAAATTAAAAAGTTCACGTTACTAATTTTATTTATTTTTTAATATCTTGTAACCAAAACATAACAATAAGTATGATTTTGAAAGAAAAAATAGTTGAGTAACCGAAATGGAACTACAGTGATAGATAAGTAACTAATTGACTAACTGTTAATAAGTTTGATATAAGCGATGAGTGTTGGCACAAGTGGTTGGGATTCATGAATTTAAGTTTGTATAAGGTCAAGTTTGAATCTACTGTCGTCACTCTTGGTGGACAATCTGTAAATTACTATGTAAATCCTAATTGGGTCTTAAGTATATCCTGACCCTGGACCGGGAAACTACCCCTTACCTAAACTCTGTACCAAACAAAAAAAAGTTTGATATAAAATTATTATGTTTCATATTTATGATTTGACCAGTGTTTTTTATATTGTAAAGTTCAGTAATACCACTTATCACGATGCAAAATAAACAAAGCAAAGTTGTCTACCCCAAATGAGTTTATGTTCTATAAAACTATATGTGGACTAAAAGTCTGCGTTTGAGGCTTTGAGCCACCAAATTAATTTTATCCATTTAATGTTTCATAAATTCAGATATTTTTTCAATATGATTAAATTGAAATCCATAACTTTTGGAGGGATCAAAAAGGAAAATAAATACAAAATTTTAACCATTTAATGTGGGAAGGCCCTACCAACCCTGTGTCCCCACTCATGAATGAGATTTGGGTAGGATTAGGGTTCACAACAGCTCAGTTCGATCGGATTTTTTTTTTCTTTCTTGAATTGAGAGTGATATAGAGAACTAGCTAACAGTAGTTGGAGGTTGAAGAGGGCAGCGTGCGTCGGCCAGAACCAGATTTCGGATGCCACGAGGAGCAGCGTCAAAGATGAAAGTTTTACAGTACAACATCCTTAATATAAGGTTAAGGAAAGACGTTATCAATTTTATTATTATTTTTTTACAAAATCGGTAAAAATATACCTAAAATATTATTATTTTTTAACAATTCTGATAAAGTACCCAATAATAACAAAACTAGTAGAAAAAAAATCGATAGCGTTTTATCGGATTTATTAATAAAATCGATAAAACAACCAATAATAACAAAATCAATAAAAATAATAATATTCTGATAATTTTTTTTATAGATTTTATTAAAATAATAATAATAAAAAACCGATAATATTTTAACCGTACACTAATACTGTAATCATTTCCCCGTCAAAGAAGGTTATATCATTGTTACAAGAAAAAACGTAGCGTGAAGGATATAAAGTAGGGAATGCGTGTGAATGCACTAAAAATGTGATAGGTTCATCATTGTTTGTGTTCTCTAACTTGTTGGGATTCGTTCGTATGATTGGTAATGAAAACATTTTATAATTATGTTAATAAAAAATATTTTTTAATTAATTATTTGATCTATTGATCAACTAATTCGGATCGGGTATTATAGAGACGAGAGCGACCCTCCAAACCCAGTTTGCTCCATTCATAAACGTCTGGGTTTAAACTTCCAATCTTACTTAAGGGATCTAATGTCTCATCTCACTAGACCGACTAGTTATCGATAATAAAAAATAATTTTTATTTTACTACGACATGATAAACTTATTTATTAGTATTAACATATTTGTTTTGGAGAAGTAAATACACATTTATTTGAACACATGATAGATTGTATAACCCGGATTTGCTTGAATTGGAAAAAGAATTAACAAAAGAAACCTACAACTCAACAAATATAATAGATTTTATTATATTAAAATTATCCCCAAAAAAATAGAATTTATTTATTTTTTATGTTGATTAGTGGGCGTTTCCATTTTCCAAGCAATTACACTGCTTTTATAATAAAGGGAAAAAAACTAAATAATACACTCTTCTTATAAAGTTTATATTATTGAAGATAATGCCAAACAAATTAATTAATCATTTCTAAAAAATAAAAAAAAAATTATTAGGAGCGAAAAATAAACATCAACTATAACATCGTGTTGGTAATTAGTTTATCATAATACAAGCACAGTATGCAGACTTGTTTCTGAAATTTTGATGGTCTAAGAACAAATATAAAAATTGGCCTCTAAATCTATTGTAATTAGGGATGGACATGGATAGGTAGGGTAAAGTTTTTTTTATCAATTTTATTCGACCCAAAATATAGAACTTCCATCAAATTCGATCCGACCCGAGTTTAGGAGTAACTTCACTCGACTCGAATCTGATTCGATTTTTTTGAGATAGAACTAAATGCGATCTGACCCAACCCGAAATAAATATATTTATAAAAAATATTATTTGTATTCAATAAAAATAAGAGTTTGATTGAAAAATAATAATAAATAGAGGGTTATATTAATTATCTTTAAATATATAAAGTAAATTTTTATTATTTTTTGGCCGTCGATTGGTCATGATTTCATGGGAGTTTTGGTCGGCGGGGAGGTTGGGTGGAGCTTCGTCGACAGCAAAAGACGACGGTCGGCGTGGATTTAAGGGTTGAAATGAAGGTTTCAAATTTTTAGGTTTATTTCAAAATTTGTGTTTTCTGTTTTTTTTAATATATAATTTTAAATATTTTTAAAATTATCATATTAAGACACATATCAATTAACAGGAAAATTAACACCGTTACAGCCCAGACACCTAAATAAGTAACGTTAGGCATCGGGATGAGTAAAAAAAATAGTTTGGACACTTATTTTAGTATTAAATTTTAGTATTAAGCCTATATATTTTCATATATGTGCTGACTGTTGTTTTGAGGAGATGCCAACAATTAATTTCGTGGAAAGCAGGTACTTTGCATAGCCACCTCTTTTTTCCGCATTCTTATGTTGTCCTCTGGTTGTCGATTGCAAGTGGAGCTTCTGTAAGAAACCAGGATATGATTGTTAAGTAGGGAAACCAGAGAAAAGAATGTATGCATTCCTTCGGTATTCTGTCACAAGGTCGTCTTCAAGCTTTATGTAGATGATTTTATCATTTTTTTAAATGGTATGGAAGGAACCCGAAATCCTACATTACATCCAGCAATAAAAAAAACTTGTTTCTAAGGTTGTCTTATTTTATGCATGTAGCTTTTGGAACTTTGATGCATTGTTCTAGCCGCAGCAACAGCTCGACGTGATTCACATGATACATTCTGCAGCTCTGTCCACCACGAGGGAACTGCCAGAGGATTATGTTCAGACCGGAGAAATGGGTCGAAATTGACAACTCCGGTATGTTCAGACCGGAGATGTTGCTTCCAATAGGATTCCCGGAGGATGTTCGCGTGATTGCTTGGGGCCTTTCCCTCGAAAGGTAGGAACCGAGAAGTTAATATCTTATATAGTCCGGCATTATGAGTTTTTGCTGAAGAAAGTTGTGTCTGAACAAAGTATTGGTTTCCGTTTTTGTTTGCGTGACGTAGACCG